TGTCAAACAGAATCTGTTCTCTTTCAGCACTTGTGGAAGGGTAAACTGAGCCGAAGAACCCTAGACAAATATATAACAACCAGTGGAAGATTTTTAATTTCTTAAACATTGCATTTCTTACAAGAACACTCTGCTCCAGAAAATAAATGTCTGGAGGCCTTTAAAGAGCACTAAAAGCATTAGAGCTGAAGAGCTGTAAAAGCGTAACAGATGTTGGCCAGTGTGTGAGGTGACTGAATATTCCCCTTAATAACCAAAAACCCTAAACAACAAGGCTGTGTTTTTCCATTTGTGACCACATGAATGCATGATTTAAATGAGCAAGAGGCATATTATAAATATATTAATGACAAACCCTTTAAACATGACATGTATTATAGGTTATTACATGTTTCTTTCTCTTTTTTTTTAGCTTTGACACAAACAGGAATTAAACAGCTCTGGTCATGTGATTCTTTACACCAACCATGAAAAGAGGATATATGTGGTGTGTGACATCTCGAAGCAGCAGTTAGTTTGTCACTGAACACACACTGAAGCTTTGACACACACTGTTTCACAAAGATCATCATCCAACAGCACAAACCAACAGCCTAGCTTTTCCTGCACGACTGAGCTTTTCTTCTGCATGTGTACAAATACAGAACTGAATAATTAGCATGCATTCACCTAGATTCACATTAATCGTTTGAAGAAATGGCAGGGAATTGTGGATAAATAAGATATGAAGTAAGCATGAGTGTCACCTGATTTTTCTACACACTGGAAATGCTCCAGATATTTCCTGCTCCTCAGTTCACACACTCGTTCCCACATAGCAAATGTTTTCTGGCCCAGCTCCGGGCCACACAATCACTTTTCCCTCGGCCCAAGTACCGCAAAGAATGACGGTACTGAAGTGGCCCAGAACTGGATTAAAGACAAGGGTCACACATGGGCCACAACCGGCCCGAATCTCAGCCAGTTAATCACCCTTAACTGGCCCTGAAGTGGCCCAGAACTGGATTAAAGACATGGGTCACACATGGGCCATAACCGGCCCGAATCTCAGCCAGTTAATCACCCTTAACTGGCCCTGAAGTGGCCCAGAACTGGATTAAAGACAAGGGTCACACATGGGCCATAACTGGCCCGAATCTCAGCCAGTTAACCCTTAACTGGCCCTGAAGTGGCCCAGAACTGGATTAAGGACAAGAGTCACACATGGGCCATAACTGGCCCTGAATAGGACCAAAACAGGTTTTATTTTTGGTACCAAGTCTCAGCCATAAGTTAACCTTATCAACACCAGAAACCCCAAAACTGAGCCATAACCCAGCCTAATCTTACCAAACCATATGAACAAATAAGTCACAGGAAAATTCAATTCTGAAAATTGCTTTATTTAACAATAATGTACACGCCAAAAATACATTTTTAAATTACATCTAGAATTGTGTAACTGTGTGAAGGCTATTTTAGTACATTCAAAGCATAACATCTTATTAGCACCTCAAAAAAGTGCATTTAATTTCAAAATGTTCTTGTCTGTCTTTAACAGTTACTTATTGTAGTAATGCACAAGCCAAAACATTTAATAATAATGAAAATTCACATCTAGAATTATGTAACTGTGTGTAGGCTATTTTTTTTTTGTACATTCAAAGCGCAACATCCTATTACCTCAAAGTGCATTTAATTTCAAAATGTTCTGGTCTGTCTTAAAGGAACACTCCACCGTTTTTTCATATTAAACTATGTTATTCCCTTAACTAAGACGAGTTGATACATACCTCTCTCGTCTCAGTGTGGCACTCAATCGCTCTGGCGCGCGGCAACACTTTGATAGCACTTAGCTTAGCCCAGTTCATTGATTAGGATCCAAACATAGATGAAGTTAGAAGCGACCAAACACCTCCACGTTTTCCCTATTTAAATACAGTTACACGACCAAGTATGGTGAAACAAAATAAAACATGGCGCTTTTCTAAGCGGGAAAAATGGATAATAATGTATGGCGGAATAGCACTTGGACTCGGCGCAGTAATATAACTATATCATCGGGAGAGGATTATGAGTGATGATATTACTGCACCGAGTTGAAGTGCTATCAAGTGCTATTCTGCCATACATTATAGTTATCCATTATATGTTATAAGGCAATAACATAGTTTAATGGTCTGTTTAATATATTAATGGTCTGTTTAATAAAAAAAAAAAAAAAGTTTAATATGAAAAAACGGTGGAGTGTTCCTTTAAACAGTAGCTTACTTATTGTAGTAATATTGTAGTAATACAGCTAGAGTTGTGTGACTACTATTTTAGTTGCCTGAACAGCCAAGTATACAACATTTTCCAATTCTAACTAAATTAATCTATGAATGAATCTAGCACTGAAATGTAACCATATTATAATGTAATTTTACTCTCAACAAACATAGAGCAAATTAAAACAATTACTTAAAACAAATTTACACATCAGAATTTTTGTATGTGTGAGGGAGAAAAAAATTGTTCTTAGGAAGTGAAGTCCAGCTCTGCAGCCCCTCTTTTCTCCTCAAGCGCTCTCTCCTTCCTCCATCTCTATCAGGAGCAAGCTGAAGCCATCTTGTATAGTTGCTTCTATCTCCTGATCGGGAGCATGTTGTGTCAGACGATTTTTTTCTCACAGCAGCTAAAAGACAAAATATTAAATTAATACAAAATTAATAAATACATATACCAACATTAATCCACCTGTAAATAAATGTAGGTAACAAAATAAAATAAGGTTGCTTTGGTTACATTTTATACAGGAAATGGTTGCTTATAATGTGGCACTATTGAATGACTGTCAAAATACTGTTGTCAAACTCACAACAGTATGACAACAGTATTTTGACAAACAAAACCTTTTTAGCAAACAAAAACCTTAAAAATGTTTAGATATGAAAACTGTGGTGTAAACACATGCTTATCTGTGAATTAACTTTTAATTTATTAACTGTTAAAATAAAACAGCAATTATCCACTAAAGGAATAGTTAAACCAAAAATGTAAATTCTGTCAACATTTCCTCACCTCCACTTGTACGATGCCTGTATGAGTTTCTTCCTTCTGTTGAACACAGCAGAGATTAAAAAAATAAATGTTTAATCAGTAGAGAACCACTTTCCAATTTAATGTTACATTCCAGTTACCTGTCTGGTCACCAACATTCCTCAAAATGTGTTCTTTGTGTTCATCAAAAGAAACCAACTCATCCAATCTTAAGAGAAAATGATGAGTACATTTTCAGTTTTGTTTGAACTTCCTTTAAAAAACAAGAACAGACATACACACACACACATAAAATAGCAGACATATCCTCCTGATTATCAAAGTCACAGATTAGATTTAGATATAATTAAATCTGATTATACAACCATTGAATCACTTTGAGCTTTAAAAGTCAATTACTGTTGTTTGTTGCTGATTTCGCTGTGATTTGTCCTATCATTTTAACAGCATTAACTTACATTACATCGCACCGGTCGCGTCAGTCTGTACTCGCATTCTCAAGGGGCAGTGGATCCGCTACCATATAAGCAAAAGTTCACTTCAATAAGAACAAAGTGACATCCGAGTTTGAATTCTGGTATTTAAAAAAGCACAAAGAAAGAGAGCGACGAACTTCACTTACCTGAACAGCAGTTGTCTGACAGTGACAGACTTCTTCACCCTTCAGCGGGAGAAATTTCAAACGACGCATACATCACGTGAACCTCATTCACCAACCAGAAAAGCTGCTGTTACCGTGGAGATCGCGCCAAAATAAACATTTTTTAAATGATATTTTTTTTCAAACGTTTTTTAATAAACTGCTATATATATATAGTACGTTTTTAACATGATTTTGTGGTGCTTAAACTAAAAAGTATGGAAAATGATGACTATTTTGTATGTGAATTCTTTTTTCTTTAAACTATAAATTTATTTAAAAAAAAAAATCAATTATCATGTTAGGAAAATGTATATTTTGTTCAGGTCAAATGGATTTGGGAATTGTTTAATGATTATTGAATTTTGTGAACATTGCTGAAAACTAATAGGCCTAGCAGCCCTAAATACTTATAACTGTCCAGTACACAAAGGCCCATAATCGCTACACTGATCTGGGCCATAATCGCTAAACTGATCTGGGCCACACACCTCCCATCCACAATCGGCCCAAATGTTGTCTGCCGTCATGCATGCAGTGCCATCATTGCCACGCATGGCCCAGAGTTGGCTGACATGATCTGGGCCACACACCTCCCATCCACAATCGGCCCAAATGTTGTTTGCCGTCATGCATGCAGTGCCATCATTGCCACGCATGGCCCAGAGTTGGCTGACATGATGCATGCCAGTGCCGGCAACACGCCAGCAGTGCCATTTTGAGGCCACATTTGGGCCAAGTCTGTTTGCTATGTGGGTTTACATGTCAATCAATCAATCAACTTTTATTTATATAGCACAATAAAAGCAGCAGTTGGCCATTGTGCTGCACAATATCAAAATAAATAAAAAAAAACAAGAAAGACCGCAAACCAAATGATAAAGGGAGTTTACATCAAAAACATCAGAAATATTCAACATTAAAAATCAAGGGCAGTTGTAAGCCTATGAACAGAGGTAAGTATATTATGGATAGTGGAAGACAATTCAACAATTTTGGACCAACAATAGAAAAAGCACGGTCACCAAAGCAAGTGGATTTAATAATAATCACATTGTTTTAGAGATGTCGTCTTGTCTCAGTGTTATCCCATGCTCACACTAGAGATTCAGTTTAACAGAATCAAACACACTTTAGGCACGTAAATAAGAGAGACCTGCGATTTATGCAGTGATGGCGTTGCCTTTTCAATGCCAGCAATGAAACGTGCATTTACTACTATATTCTCCACCAATCAAAATAATGATTAAGCTCAGCACTAAATAAATAAGGATGCCAAACCGAGGATAAGCCAAATAACGGCGGGTTATCAGTGCGCTTCAGTGAGGCGCATTGCTCTTACCAGTCGTGCTGGGCTCCGTCGATGACCAGCAGGGTCTTGAGGCTCCGGGACACGGGCGCCTGCTCCACCAGCCCCGCCGAGGCGGCCGTCTGCTTCACCACACTGCTGATGGAGCTGAAGAAGCCCGCGCCGGACGCCTGCGGCGGGGGGGCTCTCCGGTCCGGCCCCGGGGACCCCGGAGCGGCTGCTGGTGCTGGGCCCGGGGGGGGAGGCTGAGGGGGGTCCGGCTTCTGCAGGTCGGACATGTAGCCATTGGGCAGGTTGGAGATGAAGGTGCTGTCCGACAGACGGCGGCGCAGGTAGTTCATGACTGAGACTCGAGGAGCAGCGCAGATTCAGAGGGTTTATCCCACAGGAGATGCTCAGAGCTGGGATGCAGGGATGCTGGGATCTTCCTCGAGTCGCAGTGCTTCCTCCCCTCTCTGCTTTCACCACCTCTGATGTCACACATGCAGACAGCCAATCAGAGCTTGCTGCATCCCTGCATGAGCTGCTCGTCTCCCTCCCCTCCCCCAGCCGGATCGCATCCTCCGACAGAAGGTTTCCTGCAGTACATGTGTGGGGGAACAACAGTCACATGCACTGAGCTTCCCTCGCAGCAGAGCGGGTGTGTTTCACTCGAAGATCACCTGAGAGATTGCCATGCGTGTTTCATGAGCGCTCACACCACGCTCTTACTGACTCACTGCAAACTTTATCGCAGCTTAGCCTTCATTCTTGTTGGAATGTAAAAAGATAGGACATTGCAGTATCTTTGATCTATTTATTTATGTTCTTATGAACATGCAGTATGACATTCATTTATTATTAGTATGTATGCAATCTTGACAGACAGACAGACTGACAGCCAAATAAAAATGCTCCTGTTTTAATGCTTTATTGCGTATTTTTAATTTATCGTCAAGTTTCTCAGTGTCATTATTCATCATTATCCTTCTGTTTAATGCATGCAAATTTGGTGTTTTGGTCAATCCGATCACAAGTGGTCAAGTCAAGAGAGATAAATGACCATGTATATACCCGGTGTTTATGCCTCTCAGTGTTCACTCGTGACTGGATTTCTTTGAAGGTTGTGCGTCTACATCAGCAGGAGATGCAGAGGCTGCTACACACAAATCATGCCTATACTCTCACAATTATATCATAGCAAGTTTCTTTTGAACTGAATCTGAGATGAGGCACTATTCGGCACTGTCAATCAAATTTCATCTTTATTTTCATCTTGAGATGCTACATGTTTTTGGCATGTTTGTCCACACCACAATGCACACCGGGACAGTTGTGTTGTGCTGCTTTTAAGATAAATGTGAAAGTCAGTAAGAGTCACTAAGAATGCACTGAAAACAACAAACCAATCAGAAATGATTCACATCACATGCCTTTTTTTTTTTTTTTTTTTTTATCGTGTGTGTTTTATTGTTTATTGATTTGTGGAGTTACTTTATAAGTTAAGGCATGTTGCAGATTTACTTATATATATATAAAAATGAGATTGAAGAATTATTTATTATTTTTAATTTGTAGTATCTTCTTGTATCTTGTAGTATTTTCTTTTTACATTATGTGCAACTTTATCATCATTAACATTATCCCATTATTTTCACATTATCCCAGTACATAACTTAAGTTATCCATTTCACCTTCGAATATACACAGTGTACACCCACAGTTACCAGTAAAGCACCTTATATTTAACTGAAACTGATTAAACAAATTTTCATCATAAGTTTATCATAAGCAAAAGGAGAAAGAGGGTATACGAATAAGATAACTGGCAAGCAACATAATATAAAGCAGGTGTTTTCAAAGTCAAAGACAGTGGGTGTCCCTTCTAACACAATAGACACAATGTGTCATGAAGAGGTTGAAGCAAGGAGGAAGCAGGATCCAAATGCAGCACGTTTATTTAAATACACTCAAACTAAACAAAGACTCAGGCAAGGGAACAAGACTCGGGAACAGAACAACCTACAACGACACACAATCAAACAATAACTCACAAAGACAGGGCTGAAACACAGGGCTTAAATACAGGGGAAAACGATCTAGATAGGATAACAAGGGGGCGTGGTTAACGGGAAACACCTGGGAAGACTAATAGACAGACAGGGAACCACTAAACATGACAAGACAAACCCACACCATGACACAATGACTCCCTTCTAACAGGAAAATAATGCAAAAAAGTTTGTTTCCAGAAGAAAATAGCGTCACAGTTCAGCTTAAGTAAGTTCAGTGATGTTTAATTTTTGTTTTAAAAAAAAAGTTATTAATTTAGTAAATTTATATATATATATATATATATATATATACTGTATATAGCCGCTCTGGACTAAACCGTGATGTCATCGTCCAGCTCAGTTCAGTTCTCATATAATGCTGTCAATGCAGGCAGATCAATAATATTGTTGAATATTAAATTAAATGTTAAATTTAATGTCCCCAACTCACTGTAAACCCTAATGTTGTCTTTACTTAAACAATCAAGTGTACTTGACTAAACATTACTTTAAATTTAGCATTTTGGCCCTGTCACTCAAAAATATAAGTTCAAATAACTTATTTACCTTCAAAATACATAAACTTAAGATTTCAAGTGCTGTGAGCTCAAAATCCTGATTAATCCTTACTAAAGGTCATTTTCACAAATGTTGTTTTCTTGACTGTGAAATGAATACATTCATACATGCTTTCTTTAAGTGCAAGGTGTCATTCTTATTTTACCAGAAAACAAATGGCTTTCATTATATTACAATTATTGATCGTAAATAAACAGATTTTTATTTTTAAATCTGATACTTTAAACTTGATAAATAAACTTTAATACCCATATACAAGTGTTTTTGTAATACAGTACATCTCCAGTGTTTAATTTACACTGCTCAGTGTTTATATGAGTCCACACTCAAGAGTGTTAAAGTTAATGAGATAATTAAGTGATTAATTGAGTGATGATTGAGCGTCATTTGTACAAGTTCTGAAAGTTAACACTGAAAACACTAATAAGTTGATTGAACTCAATTGATTTGAGTAAACTCGTTCCCTCAATTTAATTGAGTAATGGGGTCTCCCAAAACGTGCATATTTAAGTGTACTTAACTTGGTGCTTATGTAGACTTGACTTAAATTGTTTAGTTCACCAAACTTGACGATTATTTAATGTACTTAAACAATAAAGTTAACCTAACTTAGTGTTGATTTCAAGTGTACTTGTATATTTAAGTGCACAGCAAAATCCCCAGTGTTAAATTAACACTGTTCAGTGTTTATATTAGTCCACACTCAAGAGTGTTATAAGTAACACTGAAGCAGTTTTAAAGTTAATGAGATAATTAAGTGAATAATTGAGTGATGATTGAGCATTATTGAAGTTGTTAACAAGCAGAATCACTAAAGGAGAAAACCATCATTTTTAAGTCACCGTTATGGTGATAAGTGTTTGGTTTAGTTGGGCTCTTGACCCTTTGATCATTAACTTTATATTTTGTTTGACTGCTGTAACTCAGTTATAACAGCCAGATGAACAAATAGAAAAGGTGATCTGATGGTGGTGATTGTGTTTTAACATAATCATTATTTCACAATCTTTTGAGCTGAATCCTAAACTAAACTCCTTTAAAGCCCAATTTCTGAATTAGATTTATGTTATTAATTATAGCAACACTGTCCTTGTACAGCATTACAATTTCAACGATTACATCATAATGCAAACAATTTCTTTGAAGTTGTTCTTATACACATTACTGTATATTATTTTTAGACACACAGACATCAAGATTTAGCGTATGAATCTCAGCAATGGTGATAAACAGAGAACCTCTGAACATAAGCTCATTATTTATTCATGCAGCAATGCATGATGGGAGCCATGAATGAGTTTTGATTGGTGGCACCCAGAATGCACTGCAATATGCTTTATGTCACCATTGTTGAGATTCAGAGGCTGATTCTTGATCTCTATAGCTCCTTTCACACAGCGCTTTGAACCCGGCAAATTGCCGGCAAATTGCCAGAGTGCCTTCTGTGTGAACGCAAACACGACCCGGGACTGATGCCGGGATCGATGCCGGGTTGGGGACCTAGTAACATTGCTGTGTTCAGACCCGGAACGCGCGCTGTGTGAACAAAAGCCGTAACCAATGCCGTGTCGTAATGATGACGCTGAAGAGAAGTGAAAGCAGGCTATGAAACGGTACGTAATGCGCTAGTTTATGATCGAATCAGAGAAAAAAATGCACAAGTGTGGTTTCTCCAGAGAGAAATCGCAGCTCATAAGCAAACTATACACGTTGCTGAGACATTACATGTCACATCGATGTCACGTGTCTTTCCGGAACATACACGGGTTGTGTGTGAACGCGCTCTCTGATTCCGGCAAATCACTGGCAGTGTGAATGAAGCAAAATCAAACGAAATCCCGGGTCAAATCCCGGGTCGTCAAATCCCGGGTCGCTTTATCCGTGTATTTTCCGGAATCTCTGTGTGAAAGGGGCTTATGTGTCTAAAATAATATGATCTACATATTTTTTATTATAACAACCTTAAAAGAGAATATTTGGATTAAAATTGAAGTGTTACAAATATTATATAAAATATAAACAGTGCAGGTGAACATGATTCAGCTTTATATGACTTCAAAGATTAAATTCCAATCATTATGAAATAATGATTATGTTAAAACACAATCACCACCATCAGATGACCTTTTCTATTTGTTCATCTGGTTACAACTGAGTTACAGCCATCAAACAAAATATAAAGTTAATGAGTTAAGGGTCAAGAGCCCAACTAAAGCAAACACTGATCTCCACAACGGTGACTTAAAAATTATGGTTTTGTCCTTCAGTGATTCTGCTTGTTAACATCAGGTGTCTTCAATAATGCTCAATCATCACTCAATTAATCACTTAATTATCTCATTAACTTTAACACTGCTTCAGTGTTACAGTCTACATAAGCACCAAGTTAAGTACACTTAAATATACACGTTTTGGGAGACCCCATTACTCAATTAAATTGAGGGAACGAGTTTACTCAAATCAATTGAGTTCAATCAACTTATTAGGGTTTTCAGTGTAAGCAAGCCAAGGCAACAAAGGTGGAAAAAGGTGGAAAAAGGCGACAGTGCCAAGGAACCAAAACTCCATCAGTGACAGAATGGAGAAAAGAAACCTTGGGAGAACCCAGACTCAGTCGGGGGCCAGTTTCCTCTGGCCAACGAACGAACTGTGTATCATTATGATTCACAATGTACACCCTAATGGCCCGGACTGGGCAGAGTGGGCGCCTGCTCGCCCTCAGTGGAAGGGAGAGCAGAGAGCGTTATGACC